GTTTATACATCGCCTATATGCAGTTTGTTTTAATATAAATGGGATCATAACATACACATTATTCTGAATTCTTTCTTTTTTTTAACTCACCCAAGGTTATGCTTTTATTGATTTTAGAGAGAGAGGAAGAATTATATTTGGGTGACCACCATATAGATTCAGAAAGAGAAAATTACTAGTACCTCTTGCGGTTCACGTTATCCCCAGAGTGGAGGCTTTTTCTGCATTTTGGGTTGATCTCTCCTTTGCTTTTATTTATGCTTTACCACTTAGCTAAATATAGCTAAGCAAGATTTATTTGGTTTAAATTTGCCTGATTTTGAACCCTAGAGCTTCAAAAGGGTGACTAAAATGTAATTCCTTTTTGAATATGCAATATATTTACATAGAACGAAATTCAAAAGGCACGACAGCATATAAAATGAAATAAGTCTATAAGGTTCAAAATCAGGAAACACTAATGCATACATGTGGCAAAAATTTCATGCTGTACCAAACAATAAGTTTTCTTCCCTTTTCTGTTCTTTTCCCCATTTAAAAAATTTTTAAATTTATTTTAGAGAGGGAGGGGGAGAGAGAGAGAGAGAGAGAGAAAGAAATATTCAATGGCTGACTCCTGCATGCGCCCCTACCAGGTATCAAACAGAAACCTGGGTATGTGCCCTGAGTGGGAATTGAACCCGCCACCTTTTGGTGTATGAGATGACACTCCAATCAACTGAGCCATACTGGCCGGGGCTTTTCCCGTGTGTGTGTGTGTGTGTGTGTGTGTGTGTGTGTGTGTTTTCCCTATTTCTTTCCAAAGAAAATTCTGTGCATATAAAATACATGTAGCTATAGATATACCCCCTTGCTTAACGAAAGCGGTCAGCACAATTAAGTATTAATATTCTACAGTCTACACCTTGTTTTGTTATAAGGCTATGAGACCATTCCATATCAGTATATATAGAACTACGTTATTCCTTTTAATGATTTAATAACATTTCCTTGGGCATACAAATGGTCCAGGAATTATTCAGTCAGTTCCCCAACTTTTAGGTGTTTTCAATCTTTTTCTATTTCGAACAGGGCTCCAATGGATTGGATCTTTGTGTTTGAGTCTATCAGTAGGAAATATATCAGGAAGTGGTTATCCCATTCTAAGGCTTCCTGCCCCATCACCACTTACCTGTCCTTGAGAAGTTTGTCAGATCCAGGCAGGTGGGACAGTCTTGTATGTAACTGTCCTCCCCAGGTGCCTACAACGCCATGCTCTCCACAGGCACTCAGAGTGAGTGGTTTAAGGGCTAACACTGCAAACATTCACATTGTACCAGATGGCTCTAGGAAACCTTTGTAGATATCCTGGGCCCCTCCCCCCAACTCATCATTACAATACTTCATTTTCTTCATTCATTCCACAAATATTTCCAGAAGGTTGATAGGGGACCCAGTGCCAAATTAGACCAGGAGGTAGCCTTGTAGGTGAGTTGTGACAAATTCTGGAAAACACTCGAAATTTGCACTGTTCACTAGTTACATATAACGATTTATATTTAATTACAATGAGATAAAATTTAACATTGGGTTCCTCAATCCCACTACCCACATTTCAAGTGCTCAATAGCCACTTGTGGAGGCTCTGTATGATCACAGACATAAAAGATGTCCACTGTGCCCTAGGGACAGCCCTGCAGAGGCAGAGTGGTAAAGTGGGCTCTGGATTCCTACAAGCCCGGGGTTCAAGTTCTGTCTGCTACTCCACAGCTGTAAAATTTGGGCAAGTAGCCTGACCTCTCTTTGAGCCTCAGCTATAAAAGGGGGGCACTGCAGACACTCCTTCACAAAACTTTGATGAGGATTCAGAGAGATGGCAAAGGCGAGTGGCGTTGCTCAAAGGTATAGTAAGCTCTCAAAGATCAGGAGCTATTGTAATTACATATAAATATGATAACCGCTTCCATTTCTAGCAGTTTGAAAATCCTGAATTCTGAGGGTTCCATCCCATATCAGCCCTACCTACCTAACTCCCTGGGGAAGCTGGTGGTCCATAGCCTGGAGCATGTGTATAATCAAAGCTGGTTCTTCTCTACCCCCTGTCTTAAAGCACAGAGCTGCTCAATCAACCTTTGATGAATGAAGAAATGAATGAATGGGGCCAACACAGAACCTGACTGGGCTGTTTGTAAGAAGGAGCAGGAGGGTCCAGGAAATCATTAGGATGATGTTTCAAATACAACTGGCCTGGTCGTCTTTTTTTTTTTTTTTTCCTTCCTGCAAGAAAAAGTACCTCTCTTGGAGAATTACCTTAATCTTCCTTCTCTCACCTACTGCCCACTCCTCTGGGACAATTAGCCAACACCAGGAGCTCAAGGGTCTTGGCCCTTCCCCCTTTGGCCCAAAATTACCTCCTCCCCCACTTTGAGCAAATGCCTGGAATTCTTTCAACAGGAGGACAAAGCCTTTCATCTGCCAATTACTGATAAAGGGAAAATGCAAATATCGCTGGGGAAGGTGATCCATCAAGGGCTCAACATTTATTGAGTGACCACTTAGGACCAGGCTGCAGGGTAGGCATTCTGGGGGGGTCAGAGGGGAACAAACCCCCGGCCGGCCCATTCTTCTGTCTGGTCTTCAGTTTCCTCAGGGTTTGTAAAAGGAGGGGATTAAATTAGGTAACTACTCTACTGTTCCCACTCTGCCATGCCAGGAACTGCTCATCAGGGTAATATATGGACTTAACTGTTTTTTACCCTATGGTGCCTGTTATCGCATCTTTTCCTGACACCATTTTTTTGGGGGACACCATGTGGCCACAATGGGGAGAGAGGTCTTTAGGAGGAAAGAAGAATTAAGATCCAGCCTTCTATTTCAGTTTTGCTTTTTTCCATGACCCCTCCAGTCCACGCACCTTCCTTTGAACATGTTTGTTTCATGATGTGGGAGCAGTAAAGATAGTATCTGAAAAAGCATGTGATGTCCGAGGCCCCGGCGTGAGCCCCAGCAACCCCACTTACAAGCTGTGTGATCTCGGGTGAAGTGGCTTTGCCTTTCTGAGTCGAAGTTTCCTCATTTGCAAAATGAGGAATAACAAGACTATTTCCCTTAAAGCAGTGGTTCTCAACCTTCTGGCCCTTTAAAAACAGTTCCTCATGTTGTGACCCAACCATAAAATTATTTCCGTTGCTACTTCACTACTATAATGTTGCTACTGTTATGAATCGTCATGTAAATATCTGATATGCAGGATGGTCCTAGGCGACCCTTGTGAAAGGGTCGTTGGACCGCCAAAGGGGTCGCGACCCACAGGTTGAGAACCGCTGTGGCTTAAAGGGTTCTTGTGAGAGAGAAGGAAACAAAATGGTCCCTGGTTCTTGATAGAGGCGGAAGGCAAAACCCTTCTCACTCCCACTGAGCCAACGTGAAACAAATTTTTGACGTTTGCCAGCTAGTGGACTTGGATTAAAACAACGTCTAAGTAGTCTTTGGCGGAGGTGGGGAGAGAATACAAAAAGATAGGGCAGGAAACTTTAAGGTGAGTGAGGGGGAAGCTGTCTCTTAGCGTGACCAATAGGAGCTGATGGTTCACATCCAATCTCCGATGAGGGAAGCCACTTCCTCTCCACATGTCTGTCTGATTGCTCTGTTGACATGGGGATGACAGGAGGGCAGAGCAACCTCCAGAATCATAACTTCCCTGAGCTTCAGTTTCTCTTTCTGCAAAATGACTTGCTCTAGCTCTCACACAAGGTTAATGGCAGAAAAGATACAATATTAAAAGAATGGCAAGTATTTTTTGCCACGCCTGCTATAAGCATCTATAAAGTCCCTTTACTTCTTTCCCAGCCCCATGTCATCTAATTGTGATATTTACTCCCAAGATCAGGCCTACGTGGCCTAGAGGACTGTTTAGGGCCAGCTTTTCTCACAACCAAAGTTGACCCGACTGTTCATTTAGGATTTCAGTTTTGGGGGTGGTCACAGCGAACCAGGTACGTGGACAGGGAAGCTTACCCAGGTCTAATGGCACTCCATATATGTATAGAGGGTGCCCACACCTCCGCCAAGAAGCCTTTTAGGATTAATCAAGGGGGCCCCGGAGCGCCCTGTGCCACATCCCAGAGAGCCTTGCATCTTTCCGCAGACTTTCTCTTCTAAATGGCCGATAAAGGCTTACCCTCCGCCTGTTTGCCAGCTGTGTTAGGAGGCGCCAGATCCAATTCTCTTGGTATTTCACTCCTGAGCCTCTATTTCCTCCTGTTGGCGAGCGCAGGGACCTTTAAAAAATGTCCAACTTCTGTTCCAGGGCTCATCGCTGAGCAAAGCAAAGGACTCCACAGGCGCGGGCAGAATGAATGAATGAAAGGCAACATCTTCCGGTCAGCTCGGATCTGAAAAGGCGCTGGTCTGGCTGTATTTCCTGCATGTTTGTGTGTGTGTGACTGTGTGTGTATGTCCATATCTTTTGAGTCCGGGAGTTTAAAAGTTATGCAGTTCGCACAGGTATGGAGCCGTGCTAATTTCTTCTGAGCCCCCAAATGCTTCCTCCTGATGGTAGGTCCGCACATGGGGGGTCTGGGAGGATCGTCCCCACCCAAAAAGAAAAGACTTGCAGCAGAAAAAAAAATTATATTAAAAATGCTTTGAATTTCGCTCGGCCCCGTAGGTAGGTAATAGGATGGGGTGGCTGAAGGAAGAGGAAGAAGGGTAGCCCGTGGGCAAGGGGGGCAGGAGTTGAGCTGGGGGTCGTCTTTTGGGGTGCCAAGCCCCAGGGGCTTTCACGCCGGCTTGCTCTGCTTGCATTTCCGTGCCTCCCACTGAGGCCAGCCGTGCAAATCTGCACCTCTTCCCCCACCCCCTCCTCCCCCTCTCTCCCTGCCCCGCCATCTCCGGGATGCGCCCTCCGCCTGCAACTCAGCCTCCGAAAGTCAGCTCTGCACACAACTCCCCGGCGGCGGCGGCGCCTGCGTGCAGAGGCACACTCGTGACCCAACAACAAAACAGCGATGCCATTACGTTCCGGGGATTATGACGTCGACGCCTCCCCCCCCTACAACTGCTGAAAATGGTTTCCTAGGACTTTGCAAACGGATCTGCTTAAGTGTTGGTGCAAAACTTTGTAGATCTCGGCTCTGGCTTGCTTTATTTATTTTTTGATTTGTTTTCTTTGGTCTTCTCTCCTTACCCCCTCCGCCAAAATGCAGGGGGCAGGAGTGTTGACAATTAATTGGTGAACTCTCCTAAAAAAATGGAGGCAGAGAAAGACTCTGGAAGAAGATTGGTGTGTAGCTCCCCTCCACCCCCCAATCTGTATCTGGTATACGATAGATCTATTTTTTGTTGTTGTTGTTTCTTGCTGTCTTTTCTTTCCTTTTCTGTTTTTTTGCAAGAGGACCGGAAAAAATATAATAAATTGCATGCAAAAGGAAGCCAGCAGCTTACTCCTCCAGTCCCTTGTGAGGCTCAGAGTCTCAGACACTTAAGTGGCGAGGTGGTAGCGGGGAAAGGCGTGGAAGGGGGCTGAGCGGGCTTGGGGGTTCGCCTGGAATCTGGGGGGCTGCGGGGTCGGGCGCCGGGCGGTGGAGGGAGGAGGCAGAGGATGCGGGGAGTGGCGGGGGAGTCTCCTTAGGAAGTGAGTGTGCGCGCGCGCTTGTGGGGAGATGAGGCAGCTGCTGGTGGGTTTTGGGGTCTCG